TAAGCCCCTGAACCTTAAACCCCTAAGCCCTAAACCCTAAACCCCTGAACTCTAAACCCTGAACCCTAAACCCCTCAGCCCTAAAGCTTGAACCCTAAACCCCAAATCTCTGAAACCCTAAAGCGCGCAGCTCGGAGTTAAGCAGGGCTTATTGCGTTGCATTTGATTAGATTGAGCTTTGCCTCCCTGTGCCGGAGATTTCTAGGCTGTTGATGTGGAGGATCATGTCAAAAGGGTCCATGGTTTAGGGTGTAGGGGTGTAGCGGTTATTGTTTTTAATTAAGGGTTTAGGGGTTATGGCTATAGGATTTAGAGTGTAGAGTTTATGGTGTAGGGTTTAGGGATATTACCCCCCTGATGGAGTATCGAATTGAAAAGAATTTGGAATATAAAATCGAAACTGAATGGTTGAAAGGGTTTATTTGGGGGTCCCCATAGCAAGGATTACAGTATATTGGGGCCTACACTGGGGTTCTCCTCGTTGTGGAAACTATTATATCTGTCTATATATATCTATATATATGTATGCTCACCCCCCCCCCCCTCCCCCCAAGAACTACCTCTACTTTTTCGCACACCAGCTGCGATTTCAGGTGGTCTTGTGGAAGGGGGGGTAGTAGTTGCGATGCATGAATTAAACACGTATGTGACGCGAACAAATCGACGAATCGCTGGAAAAGAAGCACTAAAATGCTGCTGTGCACACTTACTTAACGCTGTGCAGGAAACATTGCGGCATGTCATTATCCAATTACGCAAAACATGTCTACGTGATACTGGCCCAGATCACTGGAAGTCAGCTGTAGTTAGATTTCAGAAGCTGCCCCTTCGCGCTTCATCCAAAATGAAGTCCGGCAACGTGAGTATGACAGACATCAAGGAACGAGTGAAGTCCCTGAAGCTACATCCTTTGGATGTACATCACATCGTGGAATCCACACCTGGCCCACTCGGTGTGATTGACTTGCCCATTTACGACTGCTCGCGCACTGGTATGGTGAAATGCATCCTGGACATCATCACGGATGTACCGTCCTTCCATCCACACTAATCAAGCAACTAGTTCAGGACAGAAAGCTCAAGGATTTGCCTACTCCATACTGTGTTGCTGAAGATTGGGACAGCCCAGTGCGAATGGATATGGTAGTACTCCTTCAGGCCAATTGCAAGTTCTGTGTAGTCAAGATCCTCAATCTTCAGGAGAAGACTAGGGTGGAGTGCGCACGAAAGCTTTGTCATGGCAAGAGCCTGCGGAACCTCTCCCGGGATGGTGTCCTTGCTCAGGTACATGAGCAATGGCCCCTCACGCGTTACGACCTGGATGTGCGCATGCTGCAGGCACTGGGTCGTCTCTTTCCATCTTCGGCTGAGAAAGCACTTGGGCTTCACACTATCCGGCAAAGGCGGCACCATCACGCCGTCGTTTCGGCAGGCCTGTGAATTTTTTCCGTGCTGCCTTGGAAACAAGCCTTTACATTGCAATTTTGATATTTAAACGTAATTTAATTAAACATGACACTAGGAATAATCTACTTGCCACATATAGAAATCGACTTTAAAATTCCAAAAAACTTAGGCCAACAAATTACTCGTATGCGTCCCGATATTTTCGACGACGGCACTTTTTTGTGAGCAACCCTTTAGAAAGCTGAAAGCATGCACGAACGTAGGCAACATCCAGTCTATGTCAATGGAACGATGGGGCACCGCCAAATGGGTGCGCGGACAGGCCTGGATCTACTGCACCAATGCTTTGAGGAAGCCAAGGAACCTAAATGCAATCAGCCCATCACGGATGCATAGAGGGGATTTCATTCCTACATTTCCCACAAGGATTTTGCCGCCATGTTAGAGCCTGCGTGGTGCACCAAGGACCTGTCCAATTCAAGTCTCATGGCTAGATTGAGAAGAACGCACATCATCGTGAAACGTCCACTGCTATGTACATTCGTCCTGCCAGTGAGAAAGAGGTTCCAGCGATGAGGATTCCCTTTGGTTCAAAGAACGACTACCTTCATGAGCACTCTCGCACCGTCTACGACTATCACAGGAAGGGTGGAATGGACGTGCCAAAGGATTTTGAGAAGAAGTTAGAAGGGAAAGTGCGTGGTTGGCAAAAGCAATGAAGGGTGAGGAGTCTTTGCCGGTTATGGTTACCATCATCCATCGTGAGAGTCCTTTCAGCAATGCGCCATCCCCATGTACATCGGTTACCCCAAATGTGGAACAAGCTAGACGTCACAACTTCGCAAGAACCTGAGCACTGAGAATGTGGAGGTTGAATCTAAAATGGGGTTTGCTACTGATGTTCCCCAGCCCGCAAGCCCAATAGAGCCTACATCCACTTCAAACAAGGTCAAACTGGAGCCATCGTCGTCCTTGAACTTCGGTGACGAGCACAAGCGTGATGTCTCGTCCCGTGGGTCGGCTAGTAAAGTCATCGAATTTCAGATTCTCCTGAAGCACGTCGTCCGTTCGTCGTGAAAGAAGAGATCCCCCCACACGTCTTTGAGTCCTTGTTTGTAGGCAATTTGACCATGGATCCATGAGATTCTCCCCAAAAAATGGCCTCACTATCTGCACCCCCCGCTGCGGAAGGAAGCGGCGAGGAAGGCTCAGACAAGGATGAGCTTACTAAGGAACTAGAGGCTTACATGGAACAGGAAACGGGGATGAACTCGAGCGACATGGGCGTGGATGCGACCGAAGAGGCACAGGATCATATGGATGTGGATGAGTGAGATTTCGGCACGCTGCTAGCTCTACACGTGTTGAAAGGCTATCTTGCAAACTTCTCACCATACAGTGACACAGTACACACATATAATATAGAGTAGATGCGATACTATTACATGTCATTGTAGTGCTTATATAAAACATGCATTGTAAAGCAAATATTACGGGGGCACTGGACCAGATGTGCGCACGCGATGTGACATGGTTTACATATTTAATACAGTATATCTGAATTCCATGTTAGAATTAAGTGTATTCCAATACAATGCTATGTGATGGCACATGTTTTGAGTTTCATGCGCGAGAAAATCCCATACAGAGTCTGGAGCTTGTCAAGGACTTCTTTGCTACTACTATTACTATTGCTAGTACGAGTACTATTAGTATTATTATTACTGTTACTATTGCTATTGCTATTACTGCTAGTATTATTATTACTGTTACTATTACTATTACCATTACTATTACTATTACTATACCTTGTACTATTACTATTAAATTCAGAGTTACTCATAATCCAATTCGCGCCCCAGTAGTCCAATCTGCGCCCCCTTATTCCAAAGTGCGCCGCTGGCAGAGAGACTGTTTCTGCTTGCACGTCCATCCACCTAATCATTCCTTTTGTGCGTGTAGGCTAGCATTTTGCATTTGCAGCTCAGTCATCCTAGATGTGAAACAGACCATGATGTGCATGAGTGCCAGACTTACCCTAAAATATGGGCAAAGCAGCGCCTGCCACGGCGCCCACCTGCGCCGCGCCTGCCTGCCGCAACTCCGCCTGCGGCAACGCCCTCAGCGTCGCTCGCTTTTCGGCGGGCGCTCAGTTGAAGTGGTGGACGATGAGGACATGTCCGCACGCCCTGCATTTATTACTTGGCGAGGGTAAACCTCAGCATCCTCGCAGGAGTCGCAAGCGTTTCTTGTGTCGTACCCATGCCAGCATCGTCGCGCGTCAGGCGTGAGCGGAGCATGTGGTAAAGTTCTGTGCTTCCAAAAGCACTTGCATTACTGATATTGCATGCAGGTCTCCACTTTGCCAAGCAGTTCCCCCGAGCAGGCGGACCACCGCAGCGGTAGATGAGGAAGAAGGGTTGTTACGTACACGGACGTGCAGGCGACGGCTGCTCTTCGCGAGTACCTGGATGGGCACGACTTGCCAGAAAATGTCCGGCTCTACTTCAACCGGCAATGCGGGGACCGAGCCTCAGAAGACAGAGTCCTATCAGGAAACAGCCACTTCACCAGATGCCACTTTATTGTGCCACATAGGTCATCATTTTCAGGAAGTTTTAATCAAGTTTCATGTTGCCATGAGTTTGCATCATATTTCAAGATTTTTCATGATTTACGAAACATGCTTCATCATGTTTCGTAATTCGTGACATTTTCATCATAATTCAGAACCTACATCACAATTCATCACTTTCATCAATTATCATAGCTGCTTGAATAATCTTCATCAGCTTTCATCCTTCGCAGGCTTTTTTTCCTGATGTGGCTGGGAAGGCTGCTTTCTCCAGCGTGTATCTATGATTCTGGTCTGCAGGTCATTCTTTTTTTGATGTGGCTGGGAATGCTGCCTTCTCCAGCGTGTATCTAGGATTCTGGTCTGCAGGTCCTTATTTTTTTTGATGCGGACTTTATTTTGTTTTTGATGTCCGTTCATTTTTTTGATGCTGCACCCCTTTAGAAAGCATCCCAAAAGTAGCAAAGGCAATCGCCTAGACCATGGCAACCGCCTGAAAGAGGTAACTTCGAGCTGCTTTGAAGAAACATGCCAACAGCTCGAAGAAACAATATTCGCCCGAACCCTACGCCCTACGTTCGACATGGTGAGAAGAAATCATAGCATCGGGCACATCGTGAAAGGTGGGGACTATCCATCCACAAGCTCATGTCCATGTCTTACAAGAACGTGGCACAATTGCTACAACGTGATGGCATTCTTCCAAATTGGCACAAGCGAACCTCTCCACATTGCGGGGAAGGACAACTAAGCAAACTCCAATGGATCAAGTCTAAGAAGGCGTGGTCGTATCAATGCAGAACTAAAGCTTGCCAACGGTTCTCTTTTTTCATGACTTCCAGCAGGGAATTCAGTGACATCGTTTAATCTCCAGGCATCGGCACTCTTTGCTGCAGTAGCAGGAGTTAAATTGAACGCAGCAGAACGCATCTTCGGCAATCTTGACGCGGCCAAGTGTGTAGAGATAGAGGAGAAAAACATTACTTTGGCACAAACAATGGAGCGACTTGGGTGGATGTAGAGGCCGATCAGGTCGACCTTGGCAAGGCCCTGGCAGATGATGCAGGTGGGGAGGCTACTAGTTTGAGATGGGAACAATGGTGCAGTATAGTTGAAAGAGGGAGACCAAGCTCACTCAAATTGATCCGCCTGAACCCTCCACGCACTAGCTTGCGGGCCCCAGGTCCTGGGCCAATTCGCAAAAAGGAATGGAAAGCAATTAGTGACCCACTTCTTCGGCATCGACATGTGGTGCTGCATGCGGACGGGGCGAGGGCATAAGACGTGAGTATTGGGGGGGGGGTTGGGGGGCGTGACCACATACATATATATATATATAGACATAGTATATACTTAGGCGCCTGAGCGGTTCCGTGGGAACCATTTTGAGCCCCAAGTATATAGCTACATAGATCCTTCGGGATAATGCGCCCACGGGAGCTGCCGGGGTGTACCACAGGATTATTGCGAGGACGTATGGGATCTGATTGCGGAGCGCCTCGATTGATTTCAATGGAGCTCCACATCATGCCTCTTCCAGCAAGCTCAAAACCCTGACGCAAGCCGACAACACTTTAATCCTGTCCGAGCATGGCACCCAGAGTCAACCGTTTGACAAGAAAAGTAGTCCTTGTGCGCTCTTTTTCTGGAGTTCCATGTTTTGCGAGTTCTCGTAACCTCCCCCAATATTGCACTTGCTAAGGCTCCCCCTTAAAGTTACCTTAGTTACCCCCTAAATAAGCCTAATTCTTGGGAAGCTTTATAAATCTTAAACCCTAAACCTTAATATTATCGACGGTCGTTTGGGGGATGGCATCCCAGCAACAGCACGTCACCCCTTCAACGTCCAGTCTCAGCCAGGGTGCCAAAACTCCGGTGCTTTTTCTGAAGCCGACGAGCTCCTACTTGCCTTTGGGCAGCTTGCCGATTCTGAGTATTAGGTCTAGGGTTTATTAGGGCTTAAGGTTTAGGAAGTTTTGTTGTGATTACCAAGACCTGTACTGTTACGACTCTTCCATTACTGCGAATTTCTAGTGTCACCCAGCATGCGCAAAGTATGCAACAAACCCACCTAAGTTCTAGCAGATGAATGACCTCTCATTTTGGGGCATATCGGGAAGTCAGAGCCTGTTGTTGTAAGGATAGTTGGCTGCAAGGTACAGGCTTCAGGAGGTTTAGAGTTCCAGGTCTTGCGTTCAGTTGCAAACAATTCGAGGTGTATTCATCCTTTGCAAAGCACGAGTTAGTTACAATGAAGGACAGGCCCTAGCCGGAGGACCTGCATAGCGGCATTGGGGTTCAGTTTTTGGGGTTCCCTAAACCCTGAACCCTACCATTTCCGCATCACGTAATTTGTGGGCTGCCGCCCCTTTCCGCAAACAGGTCGCCTGCACTCCAACCGTCCCACCCTACGTCGAAAAACAGTCCCAGAGAGCCCGGTACCCCTTAATTGAAGAATATACCTAGATGATGCTAGACGGCCCCCCTCCCCCATTGACAGCCCGCAGCTTCCCAATTCAAATTGTACCGTTTAGGATTTAGGATTTAGGGCCCCTAGACTCCTAAACCCGCAAACCCTACGTAAACCCTAATATAGTTGCGGTAGAAGGATGCTTTCTGATGAGGGTCATACGTTTTATATTTTCTGGGCTAGGCCAAGGTAGCAATATTCTTTTTTGCGCATATGATTGTTCGCCACTTGAGAGTTTCCATTGTTAGGAGGGTAAGATCCTTGAACAGCCTATAGAAACCTCTAGAATTTGGAATAAATGTAAGCACACATGTGCGTTTGCATATGTGTATTTACATATAGATAGATTGATAGATCTGATCTGTAGTCCGCTTGCGGCCTTACAATCCCCATCTAGCCGTTGTAGTCCGAACATCCCTAAACCCTAAACCCCTAAACATACAGCATCCAAGGCAGTGGTCCAATACGTCTTCCAAGAAACATTGGACCGATCCACCACGAGGCCGGCTGGCCAGCACAGCTTGGATTGGGTGGCTAGCGTTGGGTCATTCCCCCCATTCCCCCTTACAGGGTTTAGAATCCTTGTTTGCCTGTGCAATTTGGTGGTTTCTAGAATTTAGGCATCGCTTGTACCCCAAGAACCGAGGGTAGAATGCAAATGGAAATTATGAATGCCATAGAAACTGGGAATGGCTTAGGGTTGGGTGCGCTCAAGGTTTTGGAGATCAGCGTTAAAGGACAGGGAGCAGTCGTGCATTTATTCATCAGGGATATCTTTGAACATCTTTAACCCCTGTAGAGAAACAGAATTTTAGATTCTATGGGGCCCCCAAACCTATCCTAGGCATGTGGATTCTGCCAGGGGTTCAGAAAATTTACTGGAGGCTCCCTAACCTCTCTGCCATGTAGAGGAAGTATATGGGCATTATGGGCCCTTCCCCAAAATCATCAGAATGCAGGTGCCTATAGTGGGTTTCCTGCTATAATGTGGATCCCTATACTTTCCCTTATTTTTAGGGCAGACCTGACCCCCCAAACGCGGGTAAAGCACGGAAACCCAAACCGTGCAGCCATGGATGCTGAACAATATTCCTTCCCACCATTCTGCAGAGGTCGAACTAGGCATCGTCATCGGTCAGAAGTGCAAGTCCCTTGACTTTTGTGGCTGGCCGGTGTCTTGTGCTTATCATTCCTCTTTACGGACTGGGTTCATGGTAGACGCCAGAGGGCACAATCCACTACGAATACGAATCCTTTTCCTCGACTAGCAAACCCCTTCACCCCCCGGAAACAAACATTCTCCTCCTTATGTATTGGTACCTTATGAGGAGTGTTCAGTATTTGGGGTATGAGGGATTCTTTGGGGAAAGAGCTATGGCTGCGGCTTTGCATCCTCGGACTATGTTGAGATTGAATATAGTGGTTCTGGGTTCTTCCCAGTCCATGTCCCAAGTTAGTCGCGAGC